TCTCTTCCTACTTCCCTCCACCTTCCCCAGCATTATTCTCTTTTCCAAAGAGTTCTCTCTTCTCATGATGTGTCCAAATTACAACAGCCTTACTTTGGTCATCTTGGCTTCCAGGGAAGTTTCCAGTTTTACCTGCTCTAGGACCCATTTGTTTGTCCTTTTGGCTGTCCATGGGATCCTCAGCACTTTTCTCCAGCACCACATTATCTCAGATACGTTGATTTTCTTCCTATCATCTTTCTTAACTGTCCAGCTCTCACATCCATACACACATCCATTGGTGGCTAGTAATAGGGAATACAATGGCTAGTATGATTCTAACTTTTGTGCTGAGTTATATGTCTTTCCATTTTAGACTATTTTCTAGTTCTTTCATAGCCACCCTCCTCATTCTTAGTCTTCTGATTTCCTGACTGCAGTCCCCATTTCTATCAATGCTTAATTTCGGGTATGAGAATTATTTTACTATTTCTATTTCTTCATTGTCTAGGTTGAATTTGTGAAGGTCATTATTTTTGTTTTCTTCATATTCAGCATTAAGCCTTCCTTTGCACTTTCTTTTTTGATCTTCCTTAGTAGGTGTTCCAGGTCTGTGAGGTTTTCTGCTAGTATTATGGTATCATCTGCATATGTTAGATCAGGGGTAGGCAACCTTTCCCCTTTAAGGGCCGAGGGACTTCAGCTCCCAGAAGCCTCAGCCATGTTGGCCAATAGTCCCATGTTGGCCAATAGCTCCTGGGATTCTGGGAGCTGAAGTCCCTCGGCCCTTAAAGGGGAAAGGCTGCCTACCCCTGTGTTAGATTGTTGATATTCCTTCCTCCTATTTTCACTCCTCCTTCTGTATCCAAGCCTGTTTTTCTTATAAAATGCTCTGCATACAAATTGAATGGATAGGGTGAAAGGATACAGCGTTGCCCCCTTTGCCAATTGGGAACCATTCTGTTTCTCTGTGTTCTGTCCTGACAGTAGCTTCTTGTCCTGGGTACAGATTCCTCATTAGGACTATCAGATGTGTTGGCACTCCCATGTCTTTAAGGGCATTCCATAGCTTTTCATGATCTATGCAGTCATAAAGCACATACTGATTTTCTTTTGGGACTCTCTGCTATGCTCCATTATCCATCATATATTTGCAGTGTGCTCCCTAGTGCCTCTTCCTTTCCTGAACCCCTCTTAGACCTCTGGGATCTCTCTCTCCATGTGTGGATGGAGTCTATGTATGGTTCTATAGTTGCTGCAGTTTCTTGTGTCTCCCTTTTTGTGGATGGGGATGTATATTGATTGTTTCCAATCTGTTGGCGATCGTTTTGTTTTCCGTATCTGTTGACATATGTTGGTTAGCACTAAAGTTGATTCTGTCAGTATGGACTGCAGCAGTTCAATTGGAATATCATCTGTTGCTGGTGATTTATTTTTCGCTGTTTCTCTTATTGCAGCTTCCACCTCACTTTTTAGAATTTGGGGTTATTTTAACAATTTATAATATATTAAAATTATGTTTATATTGTTATACATTATTATATAATAATACAAACATAATTTTACAAATTGTTAAAGTAATCCGCAGGACAAAGGAGAGACACTTTCCCCTTCCTTTATTGGGAGGGTGTTTAATGGCAGCTCTTGCCCCTAGAGTCCAAAGCGCGATACGTGGCTGCTGTTCGCTTTACGAAACGAAGAAACCACCCTTCCATTTTCACTGTAAGCATTCTTATTTTTGGACACAACCTTCCCGAGGAGTCACTGCTTGGAAGGCTAGGTTAAAGATATTCTGAAAAGTAAAACAACCCTTTTTGGCCTGTATGGGGATCAAACCCACGACCTTGGCATTATTAGCACCACACTCTAACCAACTGAGCTAACCAGCCACTTACGACTACAGCTGCCCTGCAAGAATAGTCCAGTCTGACGTCACTTGAACTGCCCTGGCTCAGTGCTAGAGCATGCTGGGAACTGTAGTTCTGTGAGACATTTAGCCTTCTCTGGCAGAAAGAGCTCTGCTGCCACAACGAACTACAATTCCCAGGATTCCCTAGCACTGAGCCAGGGCAGTTTAAGTGGTCTCAGACTGGATTATTTCTGCAGTGTGTTTTGTATCAAAGCAAGAAGGCAAAATGTCTCATAAAACTACAGTTGCCCTAGGTAAATGCTAGGGAAGTCTGGGAACTGTAGTTTTCTGAGACATTTAGCAACCTTCTAGCTTTGATGCAAAACACACTGCAGAAATAATCCAGTCTGAGACCACTTTAACTACCCTGGCTCAGTGTTGTGTCAAAGAGCTCTGGTGCCACAGCAAAACTACAGTTCCCAAGATTCCCTAGCATTGACCCAGGGCAAATGTAGTTTTGAGAGACATTTAGCTTTCTGTGTCAGAGAGCTCTGGTGCTATAACAAAACTACAGTTCCCAGGATTCCCTAGCACTGAGCCGGGGCAGTTAAAGTGGTCTCAAACCAGATAATTTCTGCACAATCCAAGGCAAACCTAAGACAAACCGGTCATGGAGTTTTCTTGGCAAGGATCCAAAACACACTGCAGAAATAATTCAGTTTGAAACTGCTATAATGGCCCTGGCTCAGTGCTAATTCTGGGAGCTGTAGTTTTGAGGGACATTTAGCCTTCTCTGTGAGAGAGCTCTAGTGCCACAATAAACTACAATTCCCGGGATTCCCTAGCACTGACCCAGGGCAGTTAAAGCTGTCTCAAACTGGATTATTTCTGCAGTGTGTTTTGGATCCAGGTTTCTTCAGAAGGGGTTTTGTCATTGCCTTCCCCTGAGTCTAAGAGAGTGTGATTTGCATGGCTCAATGCTATGGAATTCTGGGGATTATAGTTTGTTGTGGAGATTCCACCATACTCTGAGGAAGTGAAGGAGGCATTGAAACAGCATTTAAATGTTGCATTGATAGGAATGGGGACTGCTGCCAGGAAATCAGGAGAAGATTAAGAATGGGAAGAGTGGCTATGAAAGAACTAGAAAAAATCCTAAAATGCAAAGACATACAACTCGGCACAAAAGCCAGAATCATACAAGCCATCGTATTCCCTATTACCATGTATGGATGTGAGAGTTGGACAGTCAAGAAAGAAGATAGAAGGAAAATCAATGCATTTGAGCTGTAGTGCTGGAGAAGAGTGCTGAGGATCCCATGGACAGCCAAAAGGACAAACAAATGGGTCCTAGAGCAGATCAAGCCAGAGATATCCCTAGAAGCCAAGATGGAGAGTACGACTTAAGACTGTCGTACTTTGGACACATCATGAGAAGGCATGATTGTTGGAAAAGACAATAATGTTTGGAAAGTTGTAGAAAGAGAGGAAGGCCACATGCTAGATCAGGGGTCGGCAACCTTTTTTTTACCTGGGGCCGGTCCCTTCTGGCGGGCCGGGGGGAAATGGCGGCGTGCGCGCTCACCGCCGCTGCACATGCTGCCACCGTGCATGAGTTGCGGCTGCCATTTTGGAAAACAAAATGGCGGCCACGAGTTAAAGTTAAAGTGGTGTCAAACTATTTGTGCAGTGTAGACAGAGCCTTGGTCTACTTCTTCAGATACATCTCAAAGGTGCTACAAATTCCTTTGCATACCTACAGTTAGTAACTGTGCTTCGATTCATGCATGTCTGTTAAGTAACCGTATTCATATGGTATCAGTGGCAGACTGCTAGCTGAGTGTTATTGTTTTGTTTCAAATAACTGCAGAGGGATAATGTATAATCCCCTTCAGCTCCAGGACGGGATTCTCAGAAACTTGATTACATGCAATTCTCATTCTCTGTAAGATGTAATTGTTAGAGACATCTAGAAAATTGGAGCATAATATTGGAGCAAGAATTTAGAGCAAACAGTGATGTCCCAGTTCTGGAATGGAATAATGCACGCAAGAGTGATTCAGCACTAGAATCTTAACATTTTCAAAAGTTGTACTTGTTCTGATTATACAGTTGGCCCTCCATATCTTTTTTATCCACAGATTCAACATATATGCCTTGAAAATATTTTAAATATATATAAATTATATAGGGTAATTTAAGTTCCCCAAGGCTTCAGCCTTTCTCAAGGAAACAAAAATATTTAAATATCAACAATATCGAAGCCAAGCCTGTTAAGAGTCTAGCTTTAAATCAGCAGAATAGCAGAAAATATGTCCTTGTCTAACTATGCTTCCCTAAGAACTGAGATGATTCCAAAAACAACACAAGTAGCTTGTAGTTTAAACAAAAGTTTAGTAATGGCTTAATCTATATATGTATGTACATATATATATATATACTCATAGAGACTATATCCAAATCCAGCTAATGAATAGTTCAAGTAAAAAGAAATGTTTATCCCACCATCTTTCCAAAGAAAGTTGAGAGAAGAGGAAGATGGGGACACAAACAGTTCAGGAGAAAATCTTTGAGAGAGTGTGTCTGAGTTAGTTTCCCTCAAAGGAGGAGTGACCTAAATCACATAGTTTGAATGAGGAGTTTGCATGCAGGAAATCCCTATCTATCTGAGGAGGGAAAAGAATGCAAATCCAACAAATTCCAAACAGCAAACCTTGATTTTGCCATTTTATATAAGGGGCACCATTTTACTCTGCCATTGTATTTAAAGGATTTGTGCATCCATGGATTTTGGTATCTATGGGGGGGGGTGTCATGTTATCAAACCGCAGAGGATATCAAAGTCCCACTGTAATTTGTAATTCTAACAGGTTTTGCACACCTCTTAATTAGTTTTTTTCTCAAACTTATAAATATGGTGGTTTCTCTACTTGCCAAATTTGTCATTAATCTCAAAGGTGTGGTTTGAGATATGGACTACGACTCTGGAGAAAGAGTTCAAATCTGGGCTCAGCCATGGAAACCCACAGGGTGGCCTTAAGCAAGTCACACACTCTCAGCCCCAGAAGAAGGCAAAGGCAAACCCTTTCTGAACAAAGCTTGCCAAGAAAAACCCGTATAAGAATTTTTTAAAATGACTTTAAGGCACCTAACAACAATTTAAGGAGCCAGCTTGCTGTAGTGGTTTGAGTGTTGGACTAGGACATTTGGAGACCAGGGTTTTGAATCCCTGCTCAGCCACAGAAACCTACTAGGTTTACTTTGGCAAGTCACACTCTCTCAACCTAGGATGGAGGCAAGGGCAAATCCCCTCTGAACAAATTCTGCCATGAAAACTAAATTATAAATTCACCTTAGGGCTGGCCTAAGTCAGAAATGACACCACTCTAACTGCCATGGCTCAATGCTATGGAATCCTGGGATTTGTAGTCTGTTGTGGCACCAGAACTCTCTGCCAGAGAAGGCTAAACGCTTCCAAAAACTACAGTTCCCATAATTACATAGCATTGGACTATGGTTGTTAAAAGGATGACTACCTGGATTATTTCTGCAGAGAACCAATGTGGTGGAGTGGTTTCAGCGTTGGACTATGGCTCTGCAGACCAGGGTTCGAATCCTTGGTCAGTCATGGAAACCCATTGGGTGTCCTTGGGCAAGTCACACTCTCTCAGCTTAAAGGAAGGCAAAGGCAAACTAGCTCTGAATAAATGTTGCCAAGAAAACACCATGGTAAGTCAAAAACGACTTTGAAGGCACTCAACAACAACAACAACTAGCCCAACGTTCAGCCATAAAACCCCACTGGGTGACCTTGAGCAAGTCACACTCTCTCAGCCTCAGAGGATGGGGATGGCAATGGCAAACCTACTCTGAACAAATCTTTGTCAAGAAAACCCCATGATAGCTTCGCTTTAGGGCGGCCATAAGTCAGAAACGACTTTGAAGGCTCACAAACAACAGCATTTAGCCCCAAACTCAAAACATGAATACGAAGAAATGAGAGCAAAAGGAACAAAACACGAACAAAAGGAGAGAGAAAGAAAAAAAAATTTTTTTTAAATCTCCTCAGGACGGAGCATGCGCAGAGAGGAGAACTGACGAGAGGAAAGGAGGGGCGGGAGAGAAGGGCGAGGCTCCGCTGCGCATGCGCAGCCCGCGAGCTAGCGAGGGGAGACCCAGCCGCCATGAAGACCTCGCTAGGCTTGCCGCAGTCAATAGGCGAGGGCGGAGGTGAGTGAGTGCGCTTGCGCCGCCCTTGGGTAGGGGCGAGGGCGGGGCCCCGGATGTTGACACAGCCGCCCTCTCAGGGCTGAGGAGCGCGACGCTCCGGGTTGCCAGGGCAACGGAGACACAACATGGCGCCTTGACAGCAGAGGGAGGGGAGGGAAGGGAAGGGAAAAGGGGGCTCTGGCTCTTCAGAGGAGGCCCGACATCCCCCTCCTCGCCCCTTCCCCGCCGCCGCAGCCCCCCGGCCCTGAGAGAACCAGCGGAGGATGAACAGTAAGGGAGGAAGGAGTCGGGGAAGGGCTTCATCCTTTCTTGGGAGGGAAAAAATGGGGCTCATGGTATGCGAGAGGCTTCTTCTCTTCACAGAACAAAAGGCAGCATCACTCTTTGGCCAAGAACGCTGAAGGACTTGGAGAACTACAAATCCCAGGACTCCACAGCAGCGCTTAAAGCTTCTTTGTTGGCACACACGACTCAAACTCGCATCCGCACTGCGGAAATAACCCGGTTTGGCACCGCTTTGACTGCCCTGGCTCAATGCTAGGGAACCCTGGGAATTGTAGTTTGTTGTGACGCCAGAGCTCTCTGACAGAGGAGGCGAAATGTCTCTCACAAAACTACAGTTCCCCGACCTCCCTAACGTTGAGCCAGGGCAACTCTTAACTTTGGGCCTTTGCAGACTGCCAGAAATAGTGCAAATTGAGT